GCACATCATTATAGGCATACGGTATGCAAGAAAAAAAAGTTGACGAATTACCAAGATTTTCTCTATGTAGGTGTGATACCTACTATTTCTTTGCTATTTTTAGAAGTGTTAAAATCAACTCCTTCTCATTTCTTTGTTCTAAATTAGTCAAAATGAAACTAGTAATGCTTTAAATAAACTTATTTAAGTTTGATATCAGTTGGAGAAGGATTAAAAGCCGTCAGGGAGTACTGGACAGCTGATTCATCCTAGTTTGGGACTCATCGGTAACACGCACCCAATTGGTTTCAAACTCAGGATCTTCTGGTTACAAGACAAGCTCGTAGACCATTCAGCCACTGACACTCGATCTAATAGTCCATAAATTCGTGATATATATTTAGCATAATCGCCAGCCAGTGTCACAGGTGGGTAACCTTCCTCTTGCCTGACTTGGTGTATCCCGCTGGTTACGACTAGCCCTATACAGGAAGTTACCAGGGGTTCTGCTGAGAATTTGTAACCAATGGAATGCACCAAGTCAGGCAGGAAAAAAGTTATCCACCTGTGACACTGGCTGGCGATTGGGCTAAATATATTTCACGCATTGGTAGGGGTTGGAATTCACGGGCCATTCAAATGGGTCCCAGTAGCTGAATGGTCTACGAGCATGTCTTGTAACCAGAAGATCCTGGGTTTGAAACCAATTGGGTGCGTGTTGCTAATGAGTCCCAATCCAGGATGAATTGGCTGCCCAGTACTCTGAGGTCTTCCAACAGTCAGCTCCCGCTCAATCCTGTAAACAATCGAATCCTTGCAAACTAACACATAAAAGTTGAAGGGTTAAGTAGTCAACATGAAAGTGTAGAGAATGTATTGATGAAATGCGCATTTGTCTTCCAGACACTAGTTAACTGGACGAAGTATTTAGTCAGCAACTATCAAAACGTGTTTATGTTATTTAGTATAAATATTGACTATAAATACAAGAAACAGTCAAACGTTTTATGTTAAATAATGAAATTCGTCGAAAGCAGCATTAAAGCAAAGTAATAAAATAACATGGTGCCTGAAAAGAGCCGATGAAATCCTAAAGGCTGTTTAAATTTTCTTCATGAAATGATGGCGGCCTGCTTAAATCATTGGGCTACCAAAATTTCCATCTATCAAACTGCATTTCTTATTGTCTTAATCATGAGATTATATCAGATGATCACTACATGATGAACTCGCCCACATATTTAATTAGCTTTCAACAAAACGCTGTGCAATTCTTGAAAGAAATGAAGAAAATATGTGCGGAACTGGTTCTCTCTTCATTTGCAACAACATTGCGTCACATGATATACTTCAGATTATTACTTTACAAGTAGATCATGTATAAAGAGGAAATATTTTGGAAAGAAGTACACGGAAAATTTCTGTACTATGTGTTCACATATTGTTTGAAATGAATCTCTGTTATTTCTGTACATAGTGAATGAAACAGAAGTTAAAATATGCCTAATGATAAGAATATCACACTGACTGGTCATTAGAGAGTAACTAGTGTCATGCATCCAGTTCCTGATGTTGGCGGCAACTGAATTCTACCGGTCAGTTTAACAATGTCGTCACCGATTTTGGTCACTTGCAATCGCAGTGTACTCTGAACTGGTGTTAGATGGTTGAAGTCAGTCGGCAGGAAGCACAGAAATTAGGTCTTGTGCCCTTAGGCATTTATCGGCATGGAGTATCTGCAACTGTGAAGCAACTCATGTCCTCTCTAGAACTCGAGCCTGAGGCACGAATACTACATGCTGAAAAGTGACAACAAGAAAGAATTTTAGGTCCAGGGCTTCCTAGTGGTTGCCTACAAGCATTTAACATCAGATAAGTGGATGTACATTTATATATACATATATATATATATATATATATATATCACCCATAGAGTATTGTGATAAAAAGAAATGGACATCTGGAACTTTGCATAGAATTCATATTACGGCTGGAAATAGGGTGACAATGCCATATTTTACTGCCGCTACCATACGACAGGGCGGAATAAAATAATAGTCTCAGAAAGAAGATTGGGGTTTATACTTGAATCTTCGTTCATAGCATGTGTATGCAAGGATTGACTGCCTGTTTCAATATATATATATATATATATGCATTTTGAAAATGCTCCGTTTCTAGAGTTGTAAACGATTTCTTTGAATAGGAAACAGTTACTTTCTTAATTAGGAAAGGGGTGCAAGTCTTTTATTTCACAGCATATGGGGTAATGACTCCACATATAATCTGAACAAAACGGACCCCAACATCAGTGTCCACACATTTTAATTTTTCTATTACTGTAGATAAGCTATAACTGCAAAACATCAGAAAATCAATCACAGGCAATATATAATGGAACTTCAGCTCAGACGATTATGTAGTTGTCACTCTCAGTATGTAATTGGTGGATGGTGACTAGCAGTGGAATCCAGGATGCGCATTTCGTCCTATTTGAAACTCGTCACCTGGATGTACCTGCATTTCTCAATTAGTGATGATGTTCTCACGGACGCTCGAACCCAGAGCACATAGTTTCAAACGCTGAAGCGTTATCCACTAGACCACTTTGGCCCCGAGAGCCACCTCTTGTGCAACGGGTCACATTAATTATTTAATTGAATTTTAGATTTTTCCGTCGATTGATTGGACCGAAGTGCCCGGTCTCAGGTTGACATGTCGGCTTCTTGTGCAGATGCTTTAACGATTTCTGGGCATGTAATTTGAATTTAATTGGGGAACGGGTTCGAGCTACGGTGGGAACATCATCACTAATTGAGAAATGCAGGTACATCCTGATGACGAGTCACTAATAGGACGAAATGCGCATCCTGGATTCTACTGATATTCACCATCCACCAATTAACTTCTAATTACATGCCGAGACATCATCGAAGCATCTGCACAAGAAGTCGACATGCCAACCTGAGACCAAGCACTTCGGTCCAATCAATAAACGGGAAAACTTGAAATTCAATAAAATATACACTTTAAGTATGTTTAAAAATCGATTAATTAAAATTTGAATTTTGAAATAATCAAGAAGATATGCAGCTCATGAAGATATTTTAGAGGGTTTCGCTCTCTCTGAGCTGAGTGATTTAAATGTGTAGCTTTCATTGTCCTTCTAGACAACATCTTGAAATTCAAGTTACAGTATGAAGTAAAAACCAGCTGATTTCTCGATAAATGGTATATATGTATCTCCTGACAACCGTTGTCGCGATTAATTGTTAATTCGCATAAGTTTTTATGGACTTAGAATTTGGCTGCTTTTTTGTCATACTACTTATTCTTTATTAGTTAAGAAATTTGATCTACAATAATGTATCTGTTAATCGCTGATTTATCTGAGTACCAGACTTCTAGGAATTCCTAAGCATTTCTGGCATTTCCACTGTTTAAAATTTATACATTCTCCCAATTGAGTTGTTGCTTGTAAGTTTCATACCTGCATCAATACAAAAAAATAAATCCTGTCTTTTCACACTTGATTTATATTCTTGGATTGTGTGTGACTGGAAGGGGATGCTTACTTTGACCAATACAGTGTTTACTGCAGTTCATGTAATTTATTTTGTAGATGATGTCGATCTTGTCTTCCTTTACTCTAGGGTCTTCCGATCTGCGCAGTACTGAATCTAGTGATTGAGTTACTCTGTGCGTCATATTTATTAAGAATGGTTTTAGTATCCTAGTCATTATCTCAGAAACATTCTCTGTATATGTTAGGATGAATTTTCTTGCAGTCTGTGAGTATGGTTTACCTCTAGCAGTTTGATTTGAGTTTAAACATTTCTTTTTGATGAAATTTTAGGGGTGTCCAATTTTCTTGAAGATAGTTAACAAGTATTTCTCTACGTTCCTCCTCAAAACTGTAGTACCATGGTGTTTGCAGTTTTCTGAACAATGTTTGAACACAACTTCCTTCCCGTGCAATAATCCGATAGCAAACAAAAGAAACTGTACAAGCAGTTGCCTAAAGTGATCTTGTCTTCTACCGAATATCGCTTTTATTCGCAACTTTTGCCTTGTATCTTGTCGGGTTAAACCAGAATAAACTTTGTAAGAGTTTACGCTCGTACAGCTACTAAATATAAAAATTCTACCACACCATATTTAGCACGGGCTTTGGGTGAAGAGTCGGATCTCAGAAAAGAACTTGTAAACTTTTTAAACCTGTAACTGGACTGCAAAGTATTAGCAAAGATTATTATTACCTCTACTGTATGTTATATTCTTTGTTTTCAAGTGTTGGCTTGTAAGGGAATTTTGTTTGACTGGTTACAGGATTTCATCGTGAGCTGATATCAATTAGAGAACCACTGGAAAACCTGGAAGTGTCAGACAGCTGTTTCGTCCTAGTTTTGGACTCTTCAACAGTAAGCGTCCACCGGGATTAGAACCCAGGACCTTCCGGTTACAAGGCAAGCTAGCTCGTAGACCTTTAGGGCCATTGGGACCCAATCCAACGGTCCATGAATTCTAACTTCTGCCAAATCTTTATGTTCCGCTAACTTTTAGTTTTTTGTGGTTTTATTATTATTCTTTTTTTCATTTTGTATATCTACAAATTTATAAAAGGAGCTAAATTGTTGCCTTATGTATAAAAACACTGAAAATTCCATTCTGTATAATTATTATTTTTGTTTGGAATAAAGTGATTATAATTATTATCATTATTATTCAAAACAGCTGAAACACACCGCAGCATATTGAAGCTTATGCTGAAGATATTGTCCAAACGGTCAACAAATGCTTCGCAATTAATTTTTCTATTTTTAAGCTGTAAAAACATTTGACTATTTTGGCTGTGTTAACATAAATTGTAACTCCTCTTACTCACATAACGATCATTGGCGATAATGCTATTGAATACACTGTCGTTTAATTAATGCATATACATATATATATATATGTATGAAGTCTTTAACAGAGACTTCTCACTTCTGATTCTTGTATTTTTGTTTTCTTCCTCACAGGTGGAGGCAGTGTTTTCTAGTGTGCCTTCGAAGTAATATCCTACAAATATTTATGTCCATATTGGTACTACTTGATGCAGGAATTGTCATCAGTGAAATAGTTTTAGAAATACAATCACTTCAAAGTAAGTTTGATAATTTTACTGGCTGTAATACCAGTACATTCATGAGGCTATTTTATACAAGCAGCAGATGATTTGAATGTTGTCATTTTCTCAATGAATATAGGGGATGTCAAAATATTGTTAAGTCATGGACACTAGATAGTAACTAATGGCACGAATCTGCTCATTTGTTTGGTATAGATTGACATTATTTGCTACCTGATATCAAGTTGAAGTATCCAATACAGCTCTACAGGAGGTCAATCGCCAGGCCCAGTATCTCAGTGATAACGTCTTTGAGTGCAGCACTAGGTGACTCGGGTTCAAATCTCAGAAATGAATATGATTGCAGATATGCCCCTTCTGACTGACGAGTACCAAAAAGTACGAAACCTTGGTTCAAGGCCTCGTGACGATTGCCTCCAACCATCTTACAATGGTTACATATACACAAATACCTGTTTGCAGCTGAACATTCTATCACATATCTTATGCATTTGTACATCTGTCAAACTGATGGAACAACACAGAACCCCATTATGTTTTTATTTCAATTATCTAGTCAGTGAAGCCAATGGTTCTGCATGCGTAGTACATGTCCCAGCCGTCTTAAATGCTGAGGCTATAAAATGTCATTAGTCGTCTCATCTTCATAGCACAAGATTTCACACCTCACTTTAGTATTATTGTTCCACTTAACAATACCTACTGAAGGAAATGCACCTTTGATCAAAAACCTTTAATCTTTTCATATCTCTAACCATCAGTGACGATGTTTCGCAAACACAAAGTAGGGCAGAGTCAATTACTGTACAGTATACACGATCTATGTGTGCGTCGGTGGCTTAGTGGTTAGGACGCTCGCCTACCATGCACATGGTCCAGGGTTCGATCCCCGGCCGACGCACTCCTTTACCTCGCTAGGCCAGAAATAATGCTGGTGAAGAGGAAAGCTTGGGCATGAGGCTGGCAACCCTAACCTGTAAAAAAACACTGCTACAGAAACTCCAAGCCACCAGCTTGAAGCCCTATGTTCCACTGGGGAACGTGAAGGAAAAAAAATACACGATCTATAATATCACTACCCTGTCAAAGATGACTCAAGCTAGCAAATGCAAGTTGATCCTTTTATGTCCGTGCCCAGGCTCCATTGGCAGTCATTCCGTTAGGACTGAAGTGACCTGCTAAGTAATTCTAGTGGCTGTGCTATTGAAACGATTCAGTTTTGTATCTTAAACTACAAGAATACGCTAGCCAGTTTCGTAGAATCTTCTCTTACATTTGACAGATAATAATCCCAGGTCAAATAAACTCATCATCTTGCTCAGGATTTTGAGGGGGCTTTGAATTTCATTCACGTCACCGAAGAAGTGCAGTACACCAAGCACTCTCATCCATTTTCATAATTCCTTTTCTGAAGTTTGTCGTATGCTCATGGTGTCATGAAATGACCCAAGGAGTTACTCATTTCTGAACCGATGAACCTATCTGCCTTTTTTTGAAAGATACTTTGTAGTATGAGTTATTCAGAACTATTCTTTTTCTCTCCATTTTATACTTTAACTCTAGCCTATAAAAGTAATTTCCGTTCCCAACTTGAAGAATTTCGTCATATTGTATGTACCTTAATGTATACTACTACACCAAATATTGAACTACCATATCAATGTTATTCTGATGAACGTGGATTATATTTTGAAAGAAATAATGCAAAATTGAAAAATGCCTCAATGTACAATAAAACTACCTATACTACTACTACTACACAGAATCAAACTTTTTCTAATGAACAAGTAAATCGTGTAAAAATATTTACAGAAGAATCAAATTATACTAATCCAAGTCCACGGATAGAAATGACGGATCATCATCATTCTAAACTTGCTAGTCAACTTGAGAAAGATGATGTATTACTCATGGATATATGTAGTTTCTTATCACATTGGAATAAAATATATGGGTCGTCTATAAAGTGTATTTTAAATCCTGGTAAGTAATGTGATTATTGTCAGTAATATTAACTGCTGCATAACTCTAATGTTTTAATTTCGGGTGGGTGGAAATGAACACGCATTACCATGAATGTCTGGTGACGTTTTTCATATTTATGAAGATTTTGAATGAATCTTCTTGTTCACTACTCAGATACAATGAGAGATAATGTGGACTGCATTAACTAAACTGTCTACTCTTCAAACGGTCTTAAGCTGAATCCGTCTAAATGTCAGGTAGTAAATTTCACTTTCAGACGAAAACGTGACCTACAACAACTAGCTAGCTCACGTGGTCCCACTATCATTGACGGCATAGAGGTTGAAATTACATCTAATGTCAAGTACCTTGGACTTAGTATTTCCTCCGATCTTTCCTGGTCCTCTCACATCTTGCTAGTTACTAGAAAGATGTTTCGCTTAACGTTCTACGTTAGGAAGTTAAGGCAGTCTGGTATAAAGCAGTCTTTGCTTTCTCAGTTTGTCAATTCTTGTATTCTACCCATCCCTCTTTACTGCTCCCCATTAATCTTTCCTGGACTACTTAAGAAAGATTTTGCTTTGCTGCGTAGGGCACTAAAAGGGCAAGTGGGATTTCGTTAAACCAACTGGTTAACACCATTGTGGATAGACATATAATGTCATGTAAGAAACTAGCGAATACTATATTGTCAGATCCCGAGCATCCTCTCTATACGCAGCTCTCTCCTTGCATTTCATCTGGTAGAACTAGAAGCAACTATAGGAGGCTATATGCCAGGACTACCAAGTATAAAAACTCCACAATACCTTATCTGGCACAGCTGTTATGTGATGAGAAATCCGTTAGGTATGACACGATCAACTTACTGTGGCACTCTAACAAATAGTTCCCATTAGCTTTTGTTCTCCTTTCTTTGTTACTATTATATTGTTGCTCACATATTCTATTACACACTAATTTTATATTTCATATCCTGTGGTGCATTGTTTAAAATGTGAACGCAATGCTGTTCTTTTTTATTTCTTTTATTTTTCTTTTTTCTTTTTGTTGTTGTTGCTTTTTGTTTTTAAAATCTTATAAAATTTATGAGGTAATTAGATGCAATATTGTAATGCACGCTGAAAATTCCATACCTGTACCACAAATACTGTTTGGAATAAAGCTATTATTATTATTACTCATACATACTGATGCATTCAGGCATACAGTATCCAAGAATGCTACCGATATGACTTACGAAATGTATTAACTTTTAAAAAAAATTGTAGCGAAGATTTCCTGAATAAAATGTTTCCACAAAGCACAACGTTTGGACTGTTAGCTCATTCTGTACAGTTGCTCTTCCCAAAATGTCTACCTGATTTACTAATATGCTTCTTTCTTTGTGTAAGTACACAAGAGTAGCATGTAAACTAAGAAACGATGAATGTATTCAAATTTTCTGTCGGAACCGATTTTCAGAAATTTCGCTTCCTCTTCTGCTCTTCAGATAAGAAAAATCAGTGAGCAAATAAAAATTAAAGAATAGCATAATTGGTTGAAGGATTTCATCATGAGATGACATCAGCTAGAGAATTGGCAGAAGTTAGAATTCATGGGCTATTGGAACGGGTCCCAGTGGCTCAATGGTCTACGAACTCACCCTGTGACCAGAAGGTCCTGGGTCCGAACCACAGCGATGGGAGCGTATTGTGAAGAATCTCAAACTAGACTGATGAAACAGCTGTCCGATATACTCCCAACTGGTTTTCCAATGGTTCTCTAACTGATATCAGCTCACAATGAAATCCTGTAACCAATCAAAGAAAATCCCTACAAAACCACTACTTGAAAATCGCATAATTCCTAAAAAAATATGATCGCAGTTTAAGGTAGTGAGAAATATGATATAGAGGTAGGTAGAGTCGTTGTATGACAAGTGAACAGAAATAATTACACAACCATAAAAGGACATCGGAAAAAGAGCCATAATTTAACTAAGGCCATTGAAAATAAATTGGATATGACATTTAACGATCCAGTGTAGACATTCGTTCCATGTATTGTTTAATTAGCTGGTGAACTTTTCATTTTTGTCCTCATATATATATATATATATATATATATATATATATATATATATGAAAAACTAGAATAAACTAGAATTGCAAATAATCATTTTATGTCGGTTTTATCATTGCATGGAGTCAGATTATTCGTAATCGACCATGAAATGTCAAGCTAAAGGATGCGTGTATACCCGAAGTATTTAGAATATATTTAACGTAAAGCGAGCTTAGTTTGTTCGTCAATGTTTCCATATTATGGTTTGTAAAATTTATAAGAGAAAGTAACTGAACAGACTACTTGTTCAGTTTAAACGTAAAAATCATAATTTTCTGTTGATACGTGTAACAAATCACTACACATATATTGGTCAACATTCTCCAACACTTTGTGCTAATATACTCATACAAATAGATCAGGAAAATATTTCTGCATCTCATGAGCTATTAAGTATTAAAACATGTTTTTATTTTTACGAGTTGACCACGGATTGATATCAGTTAGAGAACCATTGAAAACCAGCACTAGAGTACTGGACAGCTGTTTCATCCTAGTTTGGGAATCATCGGCAGTACGCACCCACCACCAGGGTTCGAATCCAGGACCTTCCAGTTACAAGGAAAGCTCGTAGACTATTCAGCCATTCCATGAATTCTAACTTCTATCAATTCGTGATTTAGCGTGACCATCAACCAATGTCATCGGTGGGACATCATCCTCACACTTGACTGGATAAACCTCAGTGGTCTCGACTTCTCACTAGAACTCCAGGAAACTCCATCCTGTCGCAAGTCACTAGCGAGCATCAGTATATGAGCTTGATTCATAACCACAAGGTCCTGGGTTCGAACCCACTGCTACGGGTGCCTACTGCTGATGATTCCCAAACTAGGATGAAACCGCTGTCCAGTGCTCTACTGGTTTTCAATGGTTCTCTAACTGATATCAATCCGCGATCAACTCGTCAAACGAAATCTAATCCTTACAAACCGACTATTGAGCATATTTTTATGTTATTCCTTTACGCTCGAAGTGGAACATAGGGATTCAAGCTACAGCTTTGAAGTTTCAGTAGCAGTGGTATCCATTTTTACGGGATGGGATTGCCAGCCTCATGTCCAACCTCCCCTCTTTAACGGTCTTATTAGCGGCTTAGAGAGGTGAAGGAGTGCGCCGGCTGGGATTCGAATCCCGAACCAAATGCATGTTTGGCGAACATTCTACCGCTATACCAACGATGCACTTAAAACATACAGTTGATAAATACAATCAGTCATGAAATACCAGTAAGAATATTCTGTGTGAGTGATTATTACTTCCATTATCATAATGAACGTCGGACACTGCTACCAGTTCAATGTGATTAACGCTTGAATTCATCTGTCAATACGATGTTTGCTCACTTCATGTTTTAAGTTTTGAATGTGATCTGAAAATAGACAAGTCCTTCCCGGATCACCTGTCCGCTGTGTAGCAACGAAGACCCACATGTTATGGTATAAACGCGGGAAATCAATCTTTACGTTCTATTTTACAGCTAACCAGAACTTCTTCGAGTTATGCTGTGTACTAAAATGTCCCAAAGACAGTAAGAAGATGGTTATTTGAGATAAAGTCTGTGGTATTCTTTAACAAAAGCAGTACGCCAAAAACTCAAAATTACCTCTGCAGATCAAATTAGATATCATTTACAAAACAAGGATTATACAACAGTAATATTTCAACAAAACTAACTGTAAAAAGTACCTGGGAATCAAGTAGAATATTTCCAACAAGGTACGATAAAAACTCTGTCAGCAACAGTCACGTACCAAACAATTCCTGAAGATAATCCAAGGTCAGAATGACCATGACTCACTCAAACAAAATCAGCTTCGTAAAACAACACATTAACAATGTTAACATCATAGAATCACAAAAAGAAGCATTCGCATTAGATATTAAAGAGGAAGAAAGACATATAGTAAAGAATTCATTCAACAGATGATATGCGAATATCAGAACAATCATATAGATATGATGGAGAAGATTTGTAGCTCAAGTGGATGATTTTTATGTGGTTGTGTTCTCTGAGCTGGATAGTCAATTTGCGAAGCTTTCATACTGAATTACAACAGCAACAATCCAATAACACACAAAAGGAATTGCATACAAACACTATTCAAGACGGCCAGGACTCATTGCAGCACTTTCACCTTAAAGAAAAATTGAAGAAAGATATCTCATGGACGTCTTCCAAAAGAATGGATATCCACGGAATTTCATCAAAAGACATATACTGCCAAGCCAAGCTATCAAACCAAAAGTCCCTAAGGAAAGCACAAAGAAAGTCGCCCTGCCATATATAAAGGACATCTCAGAAATCACTACAAGACTCGTCAAACCTTTAGGAATTGACGTCGTACACAAACCAACAAAATCACTTCACTCAGTTCTATGTCAACCAAAAGACTCAACAGCGAAAGAAGATAAAACCAACATCATCTACAAAATAAATTGCATCAACTGCGAAAAACACTATATTGGCTAAAGTGGACGTACCCTTCATCTTCGTATCCACGAACATAAACTAGCCGTCAAAAGACATGATATCCACTCCCTCATATCACCACATACAGACAACCATAGACATCAATTCGATTGGGACAATGTTCAAATATTAGACAGAGGAAACAACAAGAATGCTAGAGAATTTTTAGAAGCTTGGCATTCCAGTGAATCATCAATCAATAGACACATCGAAATTGACAAAATTTATCAACCGATAAGAAAGAAACCTCACACAAACAAAGGGTCAAAAATCAAGTCAAAGAAACAATCAATTCCAATGCAAGTAGCCTAGAAGGTGTGAAAGCACACAAAAACAATCCAAGATCACGGGAAGAGAGGATTAAGAAACTCGTGGAGAAATCTAAAAGCTCACTTCAAATTGAAGTATACGCTGAAGATGTCACCTAGTAGGGTGATGAAAGCTTCTCAAATTAACTATCCAGCTCAGAGAACACAACCACATCAAGAACAATCATATACAGTCTACAAGAAAAGAGGAAAATAATTACAAAGTCAGTTAGAATATCCAGAAAAGTGGCCATATCATAAGTAGATCATGCAGGAGGGATTTTCCCAAAAATTATTCCGTTCCCCTTCGTTAGCACATTATCTCATATTTTTGTGAAAACAGAAAAATACACCCATCTCTTATAACTGTAGATGTAATAATTTAAAAGTACAGTGGTAAGAGGACATGGAATTACATACATTACAGCATAAAAAGTGAGGAACAGTGAGTGAATCAGCGTGTAGGGGTAATATATTCAAGCACTAAGATGGTAACCATCAAGGTTACTCAAATTTTTTTCACAGAGTATACAACTGTTGTTGCAAAACTAACATAGAGATATCATGGGAAATATATATGTCATTTCTTTAGTTCATGTTTAATTTATGAATAGGAATTAGTTAATCTGAAAGCTTCTAACTCAAATCAATAATGGATGGTAAATAGACAGCATTGTTCTAGAACTCTAAGCCAACATAAGCTTGTTTATATATAAGTTCTAAGGGTTTACAATAATCATTTTATAAATAATTCATTTAGATTACTGACATGAGTTTCTTTAGAAATAAGGATAGTACTCACTGAATATCTATCCTTCTGGTTTTGTTACCCTCGTTTTGTGTTGATTCAGGTGTGTATTGTAGAATTTCTCATATTTAACTGACTTTTTCTATATTATGTCAATCATTCTGCTTCTCATATATATATATATATATGAATGTGAAAATAAAAACTGAGCGTTTTTGTGTAGCGGTGTTTCTACAAAGACTTCATTCTTGAGGAAACCATTTACCTTTCTCATACAGTTTATGCAATGAATTCAGGGACTACACTCAAATGAATGACATGATAAGAAATTTATTCATTTATTAATCACTTAGTGGATATATATAACGATCTAAACCAGCTGGTTATGGTCTGAACGCAGAAAACCGATCTCTGCATCCTACTGTTAAGTTGGCGAAACTTCCTTGAGACACGCACGATCACCACAAACACCCCAAAGACAGGAAGAAGATTACCGTTCAGCGAAAAGTCTCTTTTCGGCGAATTCATTCACTCAGCTGGACAATTGCATTCATAGATAACGAGTTTTGCATGTTTGTGTACATTAGGTTTGTCAGACAAGAATAAAATTAGTCAGGGTAATTATTCACGTCATCACAACATTTCAGGACATGTGATGTATAATGAAATTACAACTAAGGGGGGTGAAGATTGATAAGTTATGAAAAGGGTTGCGTAATATGAAAGACATCCAGAAGAATAGCATGTTAGTAAAACAGCATGGACACAAGTGGCCAAAATAAGTTATATAAGAGAGAGAGAGAGCAAGTAAAGGGTTGGTTAAGAAAACGAATTCAAAGAATTCTTATTTACAAAGTAATAGAACTTTAAATTATACCAAGGTAGAGAGAGAGGATGGAGAAGTTTCTTCTCTGTACACAAATCAGAGATTTCCATCTGAATTGCTAAGGCCTCTGTGATGCAAAGTTTACGGAAGATAGCCGTATTCGGGAAGCTTCTTTTCACTTTGTAGATGACTTTGAATGAATTCTCCTTACATATTGAATGATCAGTGCTAAATATGTGTGTTCCGTTATAGCACTCCTTGTCAATCCACTTTTCTTGAATAATTCTGCGGTTCTATTAAACAATAGCAACACCAACAGCTCAGAATTACCTTAAGAGTGCTGTTAGGCAGCTATACAGTTCCGTCTTAGTACAAAATGAGCACTTAGAATCAAGTACAGTATTCCCAGTAAGGTTGGATTCGAAGCTTTGTTCACAAGAATCACACACCAAACAATTCCAAAAGACAGTCCAAGATCAGAATGACCTTGATCCACCCAAACACAGTTGCCGCTGTATATCAATAGGTTATCTGTATGTTCACGAAACCCCATAGAGAAGCATTAAAGTCAGAGGTTTAACAGGAACAAAGACTTATTATAAGGTTCGATCAACATTTGATGTGCAAGTAATGATACACAGTTTATGTGGAAAACCGACGATAATTTCAAAGTTAGTAGGAAAATCCTAAGAAGTACAAATATTTTGATTCGATAGTCCTGTAGGGATTTTCTAAACCATTTTTCCGTTACAGTCTTAATTGAAAGCTTATTTAGTTACAGGATTTCATCGTGAGTTGACAAAGGTTGCAGAACCATTGGAAAACCTGAGAGTACTGAACAACAGTTTCGTCCTAATTTGGGACTCTTCATCATTACGCACCCACCGGAATTCGAACCAAGGACATTCTGGTTACAAAGTGAGTTCGTAGACCATCAAGACACTAGGACCCAGTCCAGGTGGGTACCTACCTGGATTCTAGTGTGAAGGAGTGATCAGTAGGGTAAAACAGGTTGGGCGTGAGGACAGATACTCTTACTATGCTATGAATTGGCAGGATTTGGAATTCATGGATGGTTGGATCGGGTCGTGGTGACTTAATGGCCTCTGAGCTTGCCTTCTAACCAGAAGATCCTGGGTTCGGGCGTCTGTGGTCGCGTTCTCATGAAGAGTCACAAACTAGGACAAAACATCTGTCTCGCACTATTTCAAGGTTTCTAATGTTTCTCTTATTGATGTCAGCTCATGATGGAATCCTGTAACCAATCAATCAAATCCCTACAAACCAATACTTGAACACTAAAGCTTATCTCTTAACTGTTAAGTAAGTGTTTTGTGGTTAGACTTATTTTTGTGACATTTACTTCTATTATGTATTTCCTCCAGCCACGTATTTTATTATTCCATTAATTGTTTTTCTTCCTGTTATTAGAAGAAAAGCACACTACGGAATTGTTTTCGCATTCAAGCATCGCAAATCCTTCAGACATTGCTACAATAACAAATGCTCATTCGGAAGAACATTCAGTAGATTTTAACAACCATAGACAAAGAAATTTCCGCTCAAAACGTCCATCTACAATTTCCCCTGTAAATAATATCCCTAATCTTCATGAAGATGTATCTATCAATGAATTATTACCATATTTCAGTGGTGTACACTCTGAAGAATTTTGTGGAGATTCACAAATGAAAACACATCAGATTGGAGCAAGAGCACTGCATGAAGCCTCTGAAATTTTGCATTATTTAAGTATTGCAATCACAGCCTTATTCTTTTTATGCGTATTATTAAAATTAGTTTGCCTTGGCAAAGAATTTTTTCGAGATACAAATGAAGTAAGTACCGTTTATTTTTGAATCAAAGTATAAATTGCAGTGTTTACTAAATACCACAAATCTACTTGTTTAGTTTGCACTTATGACGTGTTCACACTGGATTATACATGTACTTTTATTCGCAGTATTTCATAATATTTTGAACGTGGATTCATTTAGAATTAAAAATAACTTTTTTTAGAATATTAGGTGGCAACCAGTGTTATGCATCTAGTCCTTTATTTGGTGTAAGACTGATTTCTATCAGTCAAGTTTGCAATGCAATCACGGTGCACTTTGAATTGTTGACAATAGATGATTGGAGGCAATCGCCAGGAAGCCTTTGACATACGTTTCATGCCTGTTGGCACTCGTCAGAAACACTAGTTACCACCTGGTGTCCAATCAGAGTATCCATTTCAGTCCTAAGAGAGGTCAATTGCCAGCCCGAGTAGCTCAGTGATAACTGTCTTTGACTGCAGTAGTGGATGACCCGGGTTCGAATCTCAGGAGGAACATGAGTTCTTTCAAACCTGCAGATACGCTTTGCTGACTGGTGAATGCTGACACGTATGAAACCTGGGTCCAAGGCTTCCTGTCGATTGTCTCCAACCACCTGAGAAAAATAAGTTTTTTAGTAATCACTGCTTAAGTCTACTTCACAATGCACCAAGAAATTTATTCGGAAAAATCAGCGATTTGACCAGTGAGCTGAGGAAGAAAAAATTAAAACCGCTTAATCTTAGTTACGTTTGCCTATATACTACTGACTGATTCACTTGAGTAGTGAGATACCGCTCACATCAGTAAGTACTGCTCGCTAGACAAACTGAAGTGACAGGCGTTTCTCTCGTCATCATCAGTGAAGTACTTGGTGTGACTCAGCTGAGACAGCTGACTCCTAGTGCTCAAGTCACATGTTCTGCTAATGATATAATGATGTCGTGACTGGTTGTGTGTGCACGAATTACACAGGAGATACCAAGCAATATTTATGTCTCTTCAGCCTTCAATGAAAGACGTAATCAGATTATTTCTAGTACTTTTTTTAATAACACTCATCTTTCCATGTGTATACATGCTGATTTCCTAAATGTTGCCTATTGACACACGTTTTGTAAAATCAAGACCACTCTTACTTCTAAAATATTTATGCAAATAAAGACTATTAGCAGTATCTCTTGCGACTGGAATCTGCAACACTGAATCAGTAGAAGATGGGATCACTCTTTTGAGGAAGACACCAGCTTTACGGACAAACATATAAAGTCGAAAATTAACAAGGAACATCCCATCTCTGTGCCGAAGAAGACGCTATACATGAGTGTTGAGTTCAAAGGCGACCTTCCGGCAGACATGCTAAAGAGAAGAATATCTGACGCTTTGAGAAGAACATTCTATGCTGCTAAATTACGATTGGTATTCTCAAGCCGCCCAATGTTCTTCAATAACTCTTAAGATAAACTATCGCATTTGAACACTTCTATATGTATCTACTGATTTGCAAGCTCATGTGAAGTGAGATAAGCAGGTCATTTGATGCATGTTTGAAACGCTTGGCTACGAAAAGGTAACAATGAATCAATAAAGAGTGCCATAATCGAGCACATATTCAACACTGGTCACTCAATATGTAAGGAGAATTCATTCAAAGGTATCTACAAAGTCAACAGAAGCCTCCTGAAGACGGTTAGCCTCCGTATACTTTGCATCACAGAGGCCTTAGCGATTCGGATGGAAAACCCTGATTTGTGTACACATAAGGAAATTTTCCATCCTCTTCTTCTACCTTGGTATAATTCCAAGTCCTACTACTTTGTTAATAAAGCTTCTTTGAATGTTTGTTTGATATTTTAATGAGATCTTTTTCTTAACTAGCCCTTCATTTAGTCTATCTATTAACCAAGGATATTTTCGACACTTGTCTCCATGCTCTTTCATTAACATCCTATTTTTCTGGATGTTTCTCATTGTACACAACCCTAGTCAAGACTTACTAAACCTCAACCCTTCCGGTTACAATTTGATTATTCATCACACTTTTGAAACATTTTGATGACGTAACCAATAACCCTAACTAGTTTTATGCTTGTCTGACAAACCTAATGTACACAAACATGCAAAAATATTTATCTATGAATGCAATTTTCCAGCTGAGTGAATGAATTCGCCAAAAAGAGACTCTTCGTTGAAAGGTATTCAAGTATTGGTTTGTAGGGATTGGATTGATTGGTTACAGGATTCCATCATGAGCTGACATCAGTTAGATAACCATTGGAAAACCTGGTAGTATTGCCAGACAGTTGTTTCGTCCTAGTTTTGGACTCTTCACCAGCGAGCACCCACACCATGCGGTTTGAACCCAGGATCTTCTTGTTTCAAGACCAGCTCGTAGACCATTAGGGTACAGTAGGTCAGGCGTTAGGACAAATACTCGCCGAAGATATTGGCTAGTGGTCGAGCCGTGCCGTGAATTGTCAGAAGCTGGAATTCATGCACTGGCCATTGGATTGGGTCCCAATGGCTCAGTGGTCTATGAGCCTACCTTGTAACTGGTAGGATACTAAGTTTGAACCTCGGCAGTGAATGCATAACAATGAAAAGTCTCATACTAGGAAGAAACAGCTGTCTGGCACTACTCCCAGTTTTTCCAATGGTTCTCTAAGTGATGTGAGTTCATGATGCAATCCTGAAATCAAGGTATGTCTAGTCGTCTTTACTTTATAAAATTTCTCAAAGATGATAAAATCAATAAGGTACACAGGGTAAATATTACTTCTCCGTAAATTTATTGAACTCAGTATGTTCTCAGTGCTGACGAGATGAAAAATAATTCCAGAGCAAATAATATCCTGTTCACGATAATTATTTCTTTGCATAGCTGGCGCAGTAATATTTATACAATGTTGATTAGAAAAGATAACAAGAATATATTTGTTTTCGTTACAATTTCCACAGTTAATTGAAATGTCGAAGTGTAAATTAGGCAGCACATGAGTAACTGAATTATACGTAATTCTCAGGAAAGATTAATTACAGTTAGAATCGACATACCGTGAATATATATACAAAAATGCATTTTGCCTATGGTAAGAACATCAAACAACAAAAGTATAACCCTTCTTTTTGAAGAATTATAATGTTACAATATGATAACATGAAGTAATAACAAAACAACAAAATAAAATAAGTAAGAAAGAAGTCAGGTGTTAGATAGAAATCATGTGTACTTTCTATGATAAGATTTCAGGTAATAAAAAAACGTACGAATTGATACTATGTATACAAGATTCCTTATGTTTCTTAACTATCAAGGCTTTAGCTTGCCAATGTTCCTCTTTTAGTAGATAACCCCTGAAAGACACAGTGGATACTGTGTATTACTATCGTTATTATTAGTAGTTTATTCCTGTGCGTTACGAGTAAGACATAAGACTTCCAGCTTGAGCTCTGAACTTCCAGTGACAATAGCGTTTATTTTTTACAGGGTACAGATACTTGCCTCACACCCAACGTCACCTCTTTACCAGGCTTACTACTAGTTAAGCCAGTTTTGGGCAATGCGTCATTCCGGGATCGAACCCAATATCGCATACATCTTTGGCGAGCATTCCACCAGTGAACCAACAACGCATTGCATACTACATGGGTATACTGAGCATTAGAAAACAAATAAATGAATAGACTGCAAATAAAGTTTAATTGGTGGATGGTGACTAGCAGTGGAATCCAGTATGCGTATTTCGTCCTATTTGTGACTCGTCACTGAATGTACCTACATTCCCCAGTGGGTGATAATTTTCCCACCAAGGCTCGAACCCATCTACCAATTAACTTAAAATTGCATGCTCAGCCATAGTCGAAGCATCTGTACAAGAAGCCGACATGTCAACCTGAGACCGAGCACTTCGGTCTAATCAATCGACGGGAAAATCTAAAATTCAATTCAATAATTAATGTGACCCATTGCACAAGAGACAGTGGCTCTCGTGGCCCAAGTGGTCTAGTGGATAACGCTTCGGCGTTTGAAACTATGGGTACTGGGTTCGAGCCTCAGTGGGAACATCATCACTCACTGGGGAATGCAGGTACATCCAGTGACGAGTCCCAAATAGGACGAAATGCACGTTATCCTGGATTATTCCACTGCTAGTCACCATCCACCAATTAAACTTTATTCGCAGTTTATTCATTTATGCGTCTTCTAATCCTTAATATACCCCAGTTTACTCACTAGTTTTACCTTTCAGTATGTCCCATCATCAAAATTGTAACTTGAAAGTACACAAAAACACATCTGTTACTAACTCACCTAATCCATACATCTCTGTGCAGCTATAGAAACGAAACTCTTACTAAGAGAGTAGTTTTATAGTTAAAGCCCTTCCTTTTGTTGTCTCCATGCTCATTGACATTATACAAGTAAAACAAACCAAATGGGAATAACAATCCTACAGATGAGTGTTGATTTGCAGCAAAACAATAAGATGACATAAACAGAAACTCACTAACTAACTAACTCTATTCTGAAAATGTTGATTTAATTTACAAAGTTGTTTATTTTCCAATGAGAATGTCGGTGTTTATCACTACCATAATAATGAGGATTATTCTTTTATTGAAGCAATGATAAACAAAGTTGTTATGGTAAAAATGTGGTGAATACAAATTGAACAGTGAACAAGCAGAGATAGTTCTGCATTTCATTTACGAAAACAGATATGAGGAATTACGTTTTTTTGTTTCTTTTTCTATCTGAATAGTGATTCAATTCTAATGCATCATTATTTGTCTAGACAACACCGGTTCCAACCTTGAAAAAGAAGCAACTGTTCGGAGTTGTCTATCTTTGAAATAACTTTTTATGTTGGCGCCGTGGGGAGTAATTAGTTGTCGCCATAGAAAAATTCTTGTCATTATGCCAACTTTTTTGTTTGCATAAATCATTACGCTGAAATTTTGTCTGACCTCTGTGACAACATAATTAGTCCGTCATTGTATAGCAAGTCTGGTTAAAATCA